GCAATTGGGCTGTTTTGACCCAGCGGTTGGGTTAAATGTTTAACCCAACCTTCTGGGTAGTAACCCAACCACTGGGTCAAAACAACCCAATAGCTGGGTTTGTCCCTTTTTAACCCAGCGCTGGGTTATATTTAACCCAGCATTTTTTTTTAGAGTGCACACACACACATTTAATTGATTTCTTTCCCAAATTGCATTGACTGCTCTAAAATATGATACACCAATGTTTCAGGAGTTTAGGACACAGAATAGGACACATGCTTATTCGATAACTGTTTTATTTCCTACTTGGGTTTATGTATGTGCTTGATTTTTTTTTTTTTTAAGTTTAACAGTTCTTTCCAAAGCATCGTTAGATGCCAGTGTTTCCTGTCATAGCTATGCAAAGATTTGATTTCAAAAACAGTATCATAGCTATTGAACTATTTCTTGTTATGATTTTAAATCTGTATTTAACCTCAGAACGATCTCAAAGTAAAAAAAAAAGGTGCTAAAGTCTTTTTTTGTGGTGACCGTGCTTTAAAATGAAATTATTAGAATCTTTTAATTCAAGTTTGACAATGATCAGTGTTGAGTGCTACTGTAAGGTTAACCCTTCCTGGTTTAAGTGTTTGAAAATGATTAACAGTTTAAAACATTCATTAGAAATTTAGATAAGTAATCAAATATAACCAGTTACATTAATAAAGTAATTGAAATAGTTACATTACTTATTACATTTTAAATAGGGTAACTTGTAAGTTGTAACCTATTACATTTCCAAAGTAACCTTTCCAACACTGACACTGAGTGCGGCGACCTGCACCATATATAATTACATAACATATATAAAAAACACTTTTCATAGGAAATAATTTTGAGTACAGTTTTCATTTCACTTGAGGGTGCACAAGTTACTTCTTAATGTGAAATAAAACTTAACTTGGCACCGAAGTATTGAATACATATTTAAGTATGCTAGATTGTTGTCACATGACCTCATTATGCACATTATACACATTTCCCAAAGTGGCTTTCAGTTAGCATCTCAAAAAATGTTTGTTTTGCATTTTATTCCTTTTTATGTAAAAATGCCTTACATGTTGTTTCCTTACAGTTGAGCCACGCACGCTCTTCAGTTAAAGGTACTGCAGAACTTCTGGTCGGTGTGAGCGGTTTGGCTTTTGAAGCAGAGATCTCGAGTACAAACTCTGGCTTTAAACAAGTGCTGATGTTCAATCACTCAATACCTCAGGTAGTGGAATTATCTGTCAGTCCTAATATTATATCTCCTTGTAAAGGTACAATCTTGTTTACCGATTTTCAGCTAAATCCAGTCATTTCAAAAGGAATCCAAACGATCTGGAATTTCAAGTGAGGGCGAAAAATTTCCCCACGCAATTTTCACATTGGGTTCAAATTGGTCACTCAAATATATATACATATTTTTCACGACACCATTGACAACGAACAATGGACCTTGTTGACCACAAAAATTTAGCAGAAATTTTACTCATTTGCAGTGCTGGGTAGTAACTGATGTAATCTGGATTACATAATAATATTCTGAAAATTAAGTACTTGTAATTAGATTATATTACATTTTAAAATACTTGTAATCAGACTACAGTTACTTTTTTTATTGATTACATATTACAATTATATTACATTACATTAAAATGTACAAATTCACATTATTTCTTATTTGCATGTAGTGCAGGGATGCATGAACCTCATTCACCTAATATATATATATATATATATA